GTGTGTGTGAACGCTCACATACATGATACATATATCCAACTCTACCATTCAAATTCAACAAATGGAAAAAAAATATACAGATCACTATAAATGACAAATGGCACTTTATTTTATAATGGGATATAAAATCATTTCATGGTCAGCAGCCAAGAAAAAAATGTCTAGACCTCTATGCATAAAACTTGAAACAAAACTCTTCCACCACTCTGCAGATGGAAAAGTGTACGATGCTTATGTGTCCATGAGCCCAACACCTGAGGCGGAAAAGTTTGTGTATAGCTTGCTGCGACCTCGGCTGGAAGACGTAGGGTTCAAGTTATATCTGCAAGCCAGGGATCAACCAGCTGGGGAAGGTACGTGAGCTCCTCATCAGTATCAATGTAATCATCGTTGTCATTATCTTCTTCATAAGATTTATTCTAAAAACAATCTTCAAACCAAATAATATGATTGTAAAGATTGACTTACTGAATGCAATACAAAAACATGTCTATCATTCAGACATTTTCAGTCATGAAATTGAACTGCGTTTAAACTACTGGTTAACAGAGAGTAAGTACATTTTCTTTTAATAGCATGAAATAGTTCACTTTTGAAGATTTCCTTTTTTATGTTATCTTATATAATTTTCTGTACACATGGTCTGTAATGAGTGACTACTATTTTTGTACCTCTATTTTTCAGCAATCAGTGAAACCATATTAGACGCTGTGACACAAAGTCGAAGGACAATCTTGATCATCAACCCTGACTATGTAGAGAGAGAGTGGAGCAGATTTGAGTTCCTCATTGCTCAACACGAGACACTGAAATTAAAGCAAAGAATAATCCCTATCATTTTGAAAGACCTGTGTGAGGTAAGATAGGTTTGGTTTTCATTTGAACGCCTCATTCAACATAGTCATATCTAAATGACATCACTCTCAACTTATTGTCCATCTTTGATAGGACAGGCCCATAACTTTCAGACAAACTCAGTTATATTCATCCAATCTCCGCTCATGATTGTAAATAAAGGAGAAAAACAAAAAGGAAAGCCCTTTTATTATAGTGGAAAATAAGACCACTATTCAGATGAGTGGAAAATAATGGGAAGAATGGAAAGCACTTATCAATATATCTATCTTTGAGTAAAAGATACCATGAATAAGGCTCACACAAAAAGATGATATCCAAATAAGCAAAAAGTATGAACGATAGATGGAAAGCTGTAGAAGTATAAAAATAAAAAATATTACCACCAGAAGTAGTATAAATATCTCTGACAGCTGTAAAGCTCCTTGAAAGTGAAAATGGTCGATCACAGAGAAACTCGTACAAATGACCATGGACATAAAAAAAGATATATTCCACAATAACTCGCAATATCCTACTTGGATTAAAAAATTAAGTAATAAAAAATAAGAGACAACAAAACATTATTACAAACTGTAACAACCTGCTTACAACCAAGAATCAATGACATCTCAGATGGTTGGTCCAGGTTGTAGATAGTCACTGATTATGATATTCACCCAAGGAACCACAGAGGGTCATGAAGACCTTGCTAACAGAATCTAAACCAGTTCCAAAATATTGAAAATTGGATGGTCAATGCAGGGGTATCAGCACAGATATAATGCATGAGATTTTGCACCATCAACAAGTTTCAAAAACATAGCTGGGAAAATGTTTATCTCATCTGGATGCTGGGTTTTTTTTTCCTTTTCTCCATCAAAAGATATGTAGCCTGTTGATTGGCATTGAAAAGAATTATCAAAGAAAAAATTATTGATTTTGTCCAGTGTATAATGATGTTTACAGATCATAAAGACTTAAATTTTACATTTTGAGAGTCCTACAATAACTTGAAATGCTAGAGCTGGTCAGTGATATAGACAAAGCTTGTCCTATATTATGTGTCACGATGCAGTAGAATCAGGCGCTTGTCTATTTTGGGGCATATGAAGTTATTGGTATCTTCTTAAAGCCTGCCCATTTGTCTTGCTTTTGAAGGAAAAAGTATCCATTTGTCTAGGATAAAAGTCCAAATAATGGCGATTGAACAGGGTGGGGGTACCTGGTTTCAGAGGTCAAATTAGCCTAAGTTGTGTTATTTCCAAAGCTTGAGAGTCCATGGAAACTGAAAATGTCCATCTATTATGCCTTTAATCAGCCTTTTTCAATAAGATCCAAACTGAAATGTGTTCTTTAATCGGCATGAGAGGTGTCGAGCCAAAAAACAAAAATTCAATAAAAATTCCCAAACCTGCGGAAAAATTCCAGTTTGACGAGTGCCTGATTTCACCATGCTGCCTCACATGTACATTTTGTTTATGTAAAGGGAAGCTTTATATTCTCACCAAATGCCTGGGTTTTTTTTAAAGCTATTTAACTGCATGTTTTGACAAATACCTTCCCTATTTCTTTGCAGGAAGCCAGAAAGAAAGACAAAACTCTAAAGCACATTATGGAATCTGTCAAATGTCTGCAATATCCTCATCTGAAATCTGAGAACTCATCAACAAGTCCCCAAAGTGTTTCAAGAGAACAGCACTCACAAGTTGATGTTTTAAAAAAGGAAAAGAAATTCAAAAAGAAAGAATGTAAGTTCTGGGAGAGATTGGAACTTACCATGCCAAAAAAGAGAAAGTCCTCTGAAAAAAAACTGAGTTTTCTTGAGAAACTGAAGATGTGCAAGAAATCAAGGGACAAAGAACAGAGTGCCTCTGAACACAGCACAAAGTCATCAAAAGCCAAAGTGTTAGAAAACAAAAAGAAGGCGGACGAGCTAGAGGCAGAGTTTACTAACCCAAACATTTTGGGGCTGGCATACAAAAACATATTGAATGCACATGTTGTAGATATGGTTGACTTGAAAGATCCGCTGTCAAAAGACAAAGTTGGAGTTGAAAAAAGTATTGAAATTGGCCATACAAATTTAGCAGCTGATGATGTAAGTGTTGAAATCCAATTGTAAGCATGGGGCTTTATAGTTTGATATAGTAGGGTAGGCTTTGTCAAAGTATCACGAACACCCTTTTTAAAAACGAAAGATAATTGTCAAAACGGAGGATCTCGGATTTAGTTGGAGGAAAACCTCTAAAACTTAAAGTCAAGGTAAATAGTTATTCGATAGTCAAACCAGAGTTATCCATACTCCATACTTTATTGAACTAATATCATGCTCATGGCAGGGATGGGTATTGAGGGTAGACTTTTTACATGCAATTTGTACCTTTTCCTGTGACTCAAATTCCATACTATACTCGCTACCATATTATAAGCACTCTCTTACAGTCTGAAGTGTAATTGTTGAACTCATCGCCTAGCACCCAAAGGATGGGTTCGATCCCCCCCTTCTGAAAGATAATTGATAGAGTGTCACAGCCTTTCTGCTGTGATGAATTATGAACCCCATAAATACTGCCTTTTTGGTCTAGCCTCACTTTGTAAAACGGATGGCCACCTAAATGATGTAAATGTAAATTTTGTCAATGAAAGCATAAAACATTAACCACAGAGATGACGATTAGTTGTTTAAGTCCCACCCATATTTCTTTGTTAAATTTATAAGAGTATAAATCATTGAATCCAGGCTTTAAAAACATGTGCACTGTATGTGTTCCAGAATGATTATCCTAAGACTGCCTCAGTGTTGATTTCTGTATACATGTATGTACATATTGTATCATAAATATTTGCTACAGCTAATGTAGTTCTTATTGCTTTTGAATGCAACGGAATGAAGTCTACTTGAACACTCCAAGTCTATTTTTATTTAAGTCGTGAATGCATGAAAATTGTTTATTTTAATTTTTATCGCAATTTTTTTTTTTTTTTTAAATACTCCCCTATTTAGGCCTATATAACCTATGGCTAGAGAAAAAAATTAACATTTGAGATTACTTCTTTTTTTAAACTGGTTTTGTGCCCGGGATGGGAAGGGGTTTGATTATTTATTTCTTTTTTTTTTACTCCATATTGTTTACAAAGGAGAAGACTCTGATGGTGTTGTTACCTGCAGCTTAGGAGTTTTAGGTTTCAATACAAAGTGTGAATTGCTTTTCTTAAGCTACTTCAAACATATTTCCAACTTGCACAGTGTTCAAGTAAAGGGGCCATGATTGCTTCCACTTCAGAAATGACTTAAGTCGTATCTAGTAGAGCATTACGCCTCAGGAACAAAAGCAACAAAAAGAGATGGTAACAACAGAGTAAGATTCCAGCTGTTAATATGGGTTCATAACAGTGTGTTCATCAGTTCAGTTCTTTCTTTTTCTTAATTTGCAAGTTAAAATAAATGTATGGATAGCTTTTCAATTTTAATTTGATGCCAATTCTGGCAGCTGTAAATTCTTTGCCATATCGACGGGCCGAAAGGTTAGAACCAAGGTGGCTTCTGGATCGGAAAAGTAAAGTAAAAGTGCCTATTCAGTTGTAGGTCTACCATGCTATGGCAGTCTACCTTATGTCCCACCTGACTGACCACAGACTACATGTACTGCTATCTAGCATGGCATAAGTCCTGCCTCATTGGTCATGGACACGACAGTGCTGGGGTATTTATATCAAATGCAGCTGTGTCTTCAATTGCTGTGTGTAGTTGGGTCAATTGCTTCACAGATCAAATAATTGTGCGGTGATATAGATTGTGATTGACAATAATAAGTCATGGAAGCAAGTGACCTGACAGGACTGTGTTCTCTTGTAAGTGAAATGATCCATCGGAGACAAGAGTTTCGTTGTTGCAGGAGACACAATATACATTTTATATTACTCTGAGTGAGATTTCTAAAATTAACCACTGTGATTTCTGTAATTATAATTCATAATGTTGAAATTTCTGTTTCTGTGCCAGCTTGATCCAGTTCTCTTTTGTTAAAGAATGATTTCCTGTTGTACTGAATCAAAATTACTGTGTTTTTTTTAATAAAAATGTAAAAATATGTGTTTTATTTTTATATGTCACTGTTTCAAACTGTTATTTTCCAAAGTTTTACAGTTTAATAATAAAACTGACATGTTGAGCAATTAATGATATTTTGTCAGATATATCTTTATGTGTTTTTGGTTATTCTGTTCACCCCATTTTTGTTTCAATTAGAATCTCCTGGGTGGACAAGTATTTGTTGCACAGCGGTTGTTCACTTAATACGCAAAGGACATGACTTCGATTTCCTATCTATATATATATATATATATATATAGGGAAAAATATTTTTAGCATCTCAACCTTTCTGCGGGAGTATGTCCAACCACATTCTGTGTTCACCAGACAAGCAGGGACGAAGCAGCCTGAGTTCCAAATGACTAAAAATGTGTTGATGAAAAAGTAGAATAACTGACAACAACTGTCCTTCAATATTTAGTAGAGCAATCAAACAAACCTAAGATACAAGAGATTAAACTATCATACATTCTGCTTGACTTGTCTGTTCTCTCACAAAAGTTCATGCCTACAGCAAAACTATATGAGACATGTTCTGCATTTGGCTATGCTCTTATAAAACAAGCGTGCCTTAGCCCTGCATCTAAAATACTGAAAATTAAATTTGTTTGTCAGCTTGATCTGAAGAGAGACTCATTCATTAACATAATGATGAGCCAACATTACTACGAAAAGGGAAACAAAGTAACAAGGAAACTAGAATCTACTCAGTTCTCTACCCAGACATTCACATAAAAGATGACAGAAGGAATTTTTTTTAAGAAGTGGGACGATCCATGGTTTAAATAGTTTCCTACATTAAGTCTTAAAGAAACATGAAATTCATACAAATTTTAGACTGACAAAAAAAAACAACCAAAAAATACAAAATAACATTGGTTTGGACATCTTTATTGGTATCACACCAAACAGTATTGACATGTTTGACTACAAATTAGACAGTGGTAACAAAGGTACATAATATTTCATACACAAACTCACACTCGGGACATACAGACAAGCTTTTATATATATATATGGAAAAACTCACATTTCACTTTTATGCTTGCAAAATAAGTCCAGATTTGTAAATGATCTCTCCAACAGATTCAGTCAAAGAAAAAATGAACAGCAGTATAATAACTCAAAGTCATTCAACATCCCACTATATGAAAACATCAATAAACATTGTCTTTTGAGCAGCATGATATTAACATGGAAGATTTGTCATTTTTCATCAGATTTGACAGGTATCTGATTTCACCACAATGCCACACGAATTAGTGAGTGTTATAGATGGTATCATTCAAATGAATAAGGCTGAGGTGGAAAATTAAAAGATACCATTATCTGTGAACACAAGTAGACCAGAGCTGTATTAAGATCCAGAGATCTTGCAAATTCTGAAGAGAAAATGGCAATAATCATTTAAATCTAATATTCCTTTAAATGGTTCACGGGAATAGTCAAGGCCTTGAGCAGTCCCATAAATATTTTTTTTAAAGAAGAAAAAAAAAAAAACCACCTGATCTCTGTCTTTGCACTCTTGAAAGTCAGTTACCCGATCTTTAACTCTTTCACGACTGCGAGCTGTATTTCACGGCTCATGTTACTCCCACTGGTGGACCAAAGCTATGTTTAACAGCTAGCCACTTCCTGCTTCAAAACCATAGCTACTTGTGGAAGAATCGAAACTGAAATCTCAGGCTGAAGAATTATTGCTTTTAGCAACATGTTAAGATATGTCATTATTTCCCCTTTATTTTCATATAAAACATGTGGCTACTACTACTAATATTGAAAATTAAATTAAAAATCTTTAATTTGTCTGACGGTTGGTAGAATCAGAAAGTAGGACACAGATAGGGCCCAGCCCAGGTGATGAAAACCACCTGATAGTGAAAGAGTTATGCAATTTCTGTAAATGACAGATCACAACACCTGAAGGAAGACAGAAATCAGATGCTGCTAGACCCCAAACAAAACACAGTAGTGCTGGTGAGGTAGAAGAACTGGGTAGGCTTACGGTCATCTGGAATGAACTCTGAAAAATCTTGTCAGAATACCTGTTCCCATTATTAATATTCTGTAAAATCTGACCAGAGAGGGTTTACAGTAATATTACTGTAAACTCTCTGATCTTACTTAACAAACACTAGAAGTCAAATGAACATTTAAAATACAGGGTGACGAAAAAAAACAAAAAAACTTGGCAGCTTTTTTAGTACCATACATACAGTCGGGCATGGATAACTCAAACAAGACAGGGATTGGCAAGTGTGTTCAACACATCACAATTCAAGTTAACCAATATGCAGCTAAAAAATTAAGAGATCCTTGTATCTTTTTGGGAATGACAAATTGTACGAGCAATCTGTGATTTCCAATTTTCCGCTTTGCTTCATTTTTTTTTTTTGCACGACGCATTTGGCCTACCACTAAAAGTCACTATTGTGCACCATACTACAAGCTACAGCTGTCTAGCAGACCAAGAGAAGTTTGCAGTCAATTTATTGCTTTTCAATTTTTGACATATATTAAGATCATGGTTCAGTCAAGCAAAGAGATCATTAAGTAGGCCTATTGAAAATTGCCTCTCCACCAACTCACCATCACTGACATTTCGTAAGCTCAGCACAATTTAAGGTACTAAAAGAACACTGAAGTGCCCTTAAAGACATCTTTGGTACCGGTATCACTGGTAGAGAATTTCTGTCAGTTGAGATCAGTTGAGAATCGGAGAAAATGTCTCCAGACAAAGCGACTGTTTCGTGTTGAAAAGGCTACGAACCATTCAAACCCTTAACCCTTAAAGCCCTGACCTCCTGAGGCTACTGTGCCCCTTTGCCCGAGTTCCTGAGCGATATATACTAACTATAAAATTATTCATATGATCGTCAGAATCACATTCCATATCCCACTCAGGGTAGTCCTTGTCATTACCAGCATCTTATTCAGAAAGATTTTCAAAATAATCAATAACATCTTGTGTAGTAAACGTTATTTTCAGTACACTTTTTGTCTCAGGCGGGCCGCAGGGGTTTGGAGTCTCGCACACCATTGTACCAGTGGCTAGGCATATGGGCAGTATTAAGGGTTAAATCTTCCAAGTGTCAGCTACAGATAGCCGGTGGTGTCAGGGGAAATTGTGTGATTTCACCATGTTACGTTGGAAAATGCTTGAGAACAGGCAAACCAAGCAAGTAAAGGCCATTTCAGAGAAAATAGAATAAAAATAGGAAGTACAGCTCATTGGTGAAGGAGTTGAAATCTTTGGCCATATCAAAAGTGGGATAAACAAACCCAAATAGCGACTAAAATTTAGCAATGTCTGCATCTAGGACTTTCCTACACCTCAACGGTCCACATTCTCAAGATAGATCTTAACATAGGACCATATCATATTAATGTTAAGCAAATGCTTCACAAAGCTAACACTTACTGACAAGGATCAGAAGATAACAATGTGTCAATGGTTCTTCAAAAAACATGAACATTTTCTCACTGACATCTGGTTCAAAACCAGTTTGTGGGTGGTTGGAGGGAGCCACTGGTATGCCCTACTTCTTTACTTTCCCTCCGTTGTTTCTGTCTATCTTACTTCTTCCCAGCGCAAAATGACCATTATTGTGTGGATGCCCTTCTCTATGTTTTCTGGTAAGTATTTTACGGCGCTCACAACTGCTTAAGGTCATATGAGCGCTTGTATTTCTCTATACTCAAACAAACAAAATCAAAACCAGTTTGAAAACATCCATGATGAAGTGAGGACATTCCACAAGAATTATGTTTGGCCACCATTGGATATTTCAAATGTCTAGAGTCCTAATAAAATGCTAATGAGAAAAAAGGAAGATAAAAATCAAATCAGTTATTTCATGCAGTTCCTAACAAGATTTTCTTTTTTAAAAATTGGTGCATTTTATGATACTTTCTTAAAGCCATTTCCTTTTCTGAAATCAGTTAGTTCTTAGTGTATTTTATGTCAAACAAATTCCCTTTGAATGAATTACCTCTGTTCCAAATAATAACATTCTGGAAAAAATTTTATGTGAGAGATTTTTTTTAAAATTCATTTTGAAGTTGTTTTTTTAATCACTCTGTACAAATCTTGAAAAAAGGTTCACAAGAGTGGGGGAACATCTGGATCGTCAACAAAGTCAGCACTGTTCTCTCTTTCTGGGAGATCTCTTCGAGACATTTGGCTTCCGAAAGGTGCGGCAGCTTTCATTTTTTTCTCTTCATTGTCTGCAACAATGCTTGTCACATCCACTGCTTTACGGGCACTCGCATCAACCTCCAAAAAGTTACTGAGAATGAAAGAGATGAAAGAACAAGACAAAATGAATAAATGGTTAGTCTGAGACCTTTGATTCACATAACCCTCATCCAGCGGTTAGCAATGGTGATGCTTTAGCTCACAGTACCACAAGGTCAAAGGTGAATTTACGCCTTTGTGTGAACATTGGTGCAGGAAAGTGAAAGTCTGTGGCCTTATCTTCACTTGTTTCATGAGAAAAGAGAAGCAAATGGCACAATAATGGTCATTTAGTACTTGACAAGGAAACAGACAGAAACAACAGAAGGGAAATAAAAGAAGCAGGACCTACCAGTGGCATCCTCCTACAACTCAACCTTCACTCGCAGGAAGGAAGTGAAAAATCATATTTTTCAATTGTAGGACCATATCAGTCAAGCAAGAAGCTTACAAATAAATTTGATCCATTCAAGAGACACGTGCAAAAAACACATGCTGAAATATTTTGAGGAGCCTAAAAAGAAGACAAGGCTTGGTTTGGTTTTCAATATTATATTGATTCTTTTAAAATTAAAGAATCCCTTTAGTCCAAATCAATTAAGTTTAACAAAATTCACACTTGACTTAAAGTTACACATCCACAATTCTGGATGATCCCTGTGGCAGGTAACCAAGAAAGAAGTCTTGTAATAGTGTTCTCTTCTTCTAAATAACTAAAAGTTTTGAGACCAGGTTTCATGTAAATATAAATAACCTCTTCAAATTGATTAGAAAATCTCAAAGGAGGTCCAAACTGGAAAGAGTAAGAAGAATTTTAATAATAGGAAAGGGAAATAGAATAATAAGTTATCATAAACTTATGGGCGAAGAATAAAACTCTGTGGCTGAAGCTTGACGAGGAGAGAAAAAAAAAGCATGACAAAATGAACCAATCACGCAAAGTAAGGAAGTTGAGCAGAGCTGATGATATAATATAATAAACCTTACCTGTCGTTTTTCCCTTTCTGATCACTAGCTTTGTTCACTTTGCTGTTGGAGTTATGTGTCTTTGGTCTGATTATTTGCTTCACCTGCACAGTGCAGTCAAAAGAAAGAAAAAACACAAGTAGATCTAACGAAAAACGTTTTGTTCATATCTCTGATTAATTTTTTCCACTATATACAACCATTCCAACCTTTGCAAATAGGCCTTATCATCACCAAGACAGTCAAATGTCACAACGAAAGACACACACACGCTACTTACATAAATTTAATACAAAATATCCTATTCTTTTAGAGGGTGGTGTGGGTTAGGGGTGGGATGGGGTGGGTGTACATTAGTGACCTGATGGTTAGTGTACACCCTGCACCCTAATTCGTCCCATATGAGGTCTCTGGCTGCTACGTGGCAGGAAGAAAACAATCTCGAATCTGAATAGGTCGATCTTGTTATGCGATTGTGACCTTCGGTTGCCCCGTTCTTGATTAATTGGCAACTCTCTTACTTGTCTGAAACGGTCATTCAGCCTTCCAATAGTCTGTTGATCAACATTGAATTCTACCCTGATGCACTTTTGACTGAACCGGCGACGAGAGTCCCAATGGCACGGTTGCGCTCCTAAAAGTTCAACTTTGGCATACAGTTGGGAGTAAAATAAAGAGACCAGTTTAAGAATTATAACGTTTTCTTCCTCTCCTCTCGACAGTTAAGTGGGGAATCTACACATCAAGTCATGCATACATTCAAAACTGTGGGGCGGGGGGGCGGAACTTTACTTTCTTTTTTTACCACTGGAGAACCACATATACGCACAATGGAGAGTTCTCAAACAAAATTTAGTGTCCTAATCGTATCAGTGTCTGTGGTGTAGCAATTAGGCATTTTGCCATCACATGCACAGGACGTGAGTTTAATTCCCATATGGAGAGAATTTTTATCCAGTATACTGACCGGCATAAATAACGTGAAAAAGTAACACCATCTGTAGAAAACATAACTGAGTATTTTCGTGAGCTGTTTTCATTTGTCTTTATTCACAATGTGTTCTTGTTATTAGATTTGCTCAATTTAAAAAACACAACATGGTCATTGGCCGCTTATGCATCAAACAATACAACAAAGCATCCCTCTCAATGGTACACAGTTAAAACGTGAATTGAATCGTGAATTTTTGCTCACATGTTAAGTTGGTCTGGCCTATAAATTCTCTGCCCTAAAATGTTTGATTGAGCATTGCTTAGTTCGACTATCAAGATGCCAAGATTATCTGCGGAAAATTGAGAAAGAGCTATTGGACGTCTGCAAGCCGATGAGAGCCCTCAGCAGGTGGCAATAGTCCTGGGAGTGCATGCCAGCACTATTTACTGCCTGCAAAACAAATTCCAGGCAACCAACTCCACAAGAAATCTCCAAAGTAGCGGAAGACCTTGACTGACAACAGCTGCCCAAGACCGCTTCATCATGCCTCAGCATCGCCGAGATCCACAGTTGTCTGCCTCCAAGACAGCCCAGAATACTATTGGAAGGCACGGTAGAGCCATGAGTGACCGCACCATACGCCGCCGACTTGTGGCGAGGGGGCTGTGTTGTTGGCGTCAGGAGCAAAGAGCACCCCTGAACGTCCATCATCGACGACCTCATCTCCAGTGGGCTCAGAACCATGCTAACTGGCGTCATCGACAGTGGCAGCGTGTGATCTTCAGCGACGAGAGTCGCTTCTGCATCAATCCTGACAACAGACGGGTCCAAATTTGGTGCCGCCCCCGACAGCGCTACTCTGACGAGAACATCTGGGAGAGAGACCCATGGGGAGGTCAAAGCGTGATGATATGGGGTGTAATCGATATCAGTCAAAGACTGGGCCCCATAATCTTCCAAAATTTAGGACCTGGACGTGACAACAGAGTGACGGCACAGCACTACATCAACCAAGTCCTCCAGCCCCATGTTGCTCCATTTTTTTGAGAGACATTAAAACCATCTCTTTCAGCAGGATTACACCCGGCCTCATACAGCACATGCTACCCAGCAGTTCCTGGTGCAGAACAACATACCCACCATGCCTCATCCACCCCGATCACCAGATGTCAACCCAATAGAACACCTTTGGGACATCCTTCAGAGGCGTCTCAACCAACTCCAGCCCAGACCCCGGACAGCTGCACAACTGGGTGTTGCTATTCTTCAGGAGTGGGTGCAGGTCCCCAACTGCCAAATCAATCGCTTGGTCCACTCTATGCACCGCTGATGCACTGCTGTCATCAACACTGATAGGGGCCATACAAGATACTGACTGGAACTTAAGCCCCAAGTTCAAGGTCATTGATGCCAAATAACAAAATCTGTCCCCAAGCCAATCCTCAGCTCTCAAGCGTTGTTTTGTGCAATTTGAGACACCTCAAACCTGTTTCTCTACATAAAAATATTGCTTCAATTTACTCTCCTCTTCTTGTGTCATGTGAAGTCGCATTACTTTTGCCTGTAAGTATATTTCCATCTTTCTGCTGGGATGTTTTATTCCTTTAAGTGTAAGTTGGCTCTGATCGTGGGATCTAACAGGCTTCCTCCTATATTATCTAATTGATGGAAGCCAAGTCTTGAATCTCTTTCTCTTGAACACATTATGCTCTTTTATTTTCTCATTTTGACTAAAGATTTGTGTACGGGATGGCAGGTATCTCAGTCCAAAAAAAAAGATGCCAAAGACATTCACCTCCATGAGGATTTATGAAAACAGAAATGTTATTCACTGTCACAAACTATTAAAAAAAACTTTCAGTTTCTAATCCAGAACAACTGACACAGTTATGCTTGATCAAAATTACCTTTACCTTTGGCATGGAGACAAGAAGGTGACCTGTTGTCTGAGACCGTTTCGCAGAACTGTCGTCCCCATTTACCTCAACAGGAAGTTCCAGCTGGAAAATCTAGGAACAAGATATATATATATATTATATATATACATAAGATAAACTTTGGTCAAATGTTGAATATGGTGCAGTGGCAAAAAAAATCACTGCCAGAGAACACTCACACACATAAAATAGAGGAGTGCTGATTCCTGCTGCCCTTCCCCTGCCACTCCCACATGTTCTTAGTTAAGCTCAAAAAGCTCCCGAACCCCTCTTCATGAATACAAATGAAAAGTCAATCATGATGAAGTCATGCGAGACTTTCAGAAGAATGGATATAAGACTTTCATTAAGGTATCTTGTTAAATTGCATCTAACTTATTAACTCACCTTGCCTCTCACTTTTAACCTCACATAGGTGGGCTGAACATCACATTCCAGTGAGGAAGTATCTAAATGTCTGCAAATAGATAAACATTACAGATTTCTTATGAGGAGTCAATGGGAAAAAAAACAGGCATAGTAAAATACTGGAAATAGTGAGGGTGTCAATGTTAAAAGCTTGTGGACTCATAACTTCATGTTTGTTTGACTGGTGGTTTATTGCTATGCTTGTTGAATGGGAAATCTAACAACAATAATCAACTAACAGCTGAACAGAAATACAGTTTTACGAGTCAACAAGCATTCAAAATTGATGCCCTCACGATTTTTAGTTTGTGACTATTCCCGTTTTTCCCGTGGACTCATATATGAAGGAATAGGAACATTTTATTTTCAGAATTAGAGTAATTATGCAATTTTAGAATGTCCCTACTGTTGCTATTGCTGATGCCATGATAATGACGATGAGGAGGAGGAGGAGTAAGAGGAGCAGGATGATGATGATGATGATGATGATGATGATGATGATGATGATGATGATGATGATGATGATGATGATGATGATGATGAAAATGATGGCAACTAACCATTTTCTGAAGACAAGAGTACAATTTTTTTCCTCAGAACATTTCATTACCTCATGTGATTAGTTACTGCAGTACATGTATCAGAACGTTGCCACAATTTTGATTGCAAGTACGCCTACACTTTTCATTTATTCTGAACAAGCAAAGCTTAAAGAGTCAAACTACACCTACACAAATCTCACTTGCAGCTTTTTGACAATAAAAATGCACATCCTGCCGGTAATCTATAATCAAATCTTTTCTTTACTTAAGGCCACACACGGGTTTTGGGGGTCTAGTTTGGGTCCAAACAATGTTTTTGGGGGTTTTGAGAAACTTCCCTTGAAAATTAAGTGCTAAATCGAACAGAAGAACTCCCAAGACTTTATTTCAAAGAGATGGCACCACTAAGTTTGTCAACATTGTGAACTAATTCAATGCTTTAAAGCAACAGCTCCTTCCCTCAAAATGTTCATTTCTTGGCTTTAAAAGCTAGAAACTCATAATTCAAGATAAAGACATGAAATTTGGAGGGTAAGTGCACCATGAAATTCCAAATAAAATGACACTACCGTTTAAAAGAAATTTTTGAAAAATTATATTTTTAATGATTTTGTTTTTCTTTAAATTGCTATTTTGAATATTTTTGTCATTCACTAATATGCAAGTGTCACAGAAGTAATAAAATGATGAAATATATATACAATTTCCAGAAAAGCTAGCGTTGCTTAAGATTTGTGTGCAGATTACAAATATGTAATTAGTTCATAGATAGCACGGATGATTTCGAGTTTTCAGCTTTTGAAAATAGTCCTTCATATAGCCCAGTCTCACTCTAAATTGCCATTTCTGCAATTATGTAATTGATAGTGATTCCCAAAACAGAACCATTTAAATCCTTGAATGGAATACTTTGAGAAAATGAAAAAAAAACCAGCAAAAAATAACTTAATTGTAGATTTTGCAGCAAAAAAGTCAAGTGTAGCCTTAAGGTATTGATCGTTTTATCTTAAGACATGGATGACACAAGGAAGAAATACTTGAATAGCAGAACATAACTCAAGAGAGAAATATACTAGATTTATGTTTAAAAGGAATAAGATAAACCACAAGCTGCCTTGTTGTACTATTTTATATTGTCTTATTTTATCAAAAATGTATGTCAGCAGTAGTTCTTGCCCAATTGACCACAAAAATCTCTTTGACAATAGAGCTTTCTAGACAAGCAGGCAACCATTGTCTTATAAAGACTTACTTGAAAATGGCTAAGTCGAGAAGTACATTTTGATCATCTTCTGTCAAACTGAAATCCAATCTGAAAGTGAAGAAGAAAATGCTCACTATAATAATATGTTGATTCACCAATCACTGTTCAGAATAACCAAGTCCATTCTAAATTTTTTTTTAATAAAGAGCAATTTTGCTAGATTCAGTAAATGTAATAGAAGCAAATTCTTCAGCATTACAGGCTGCAAGGACACAATCACACTAGCATACAGATTTAAAATCTTTATTTAAAACAAAATATTCAAAACTGAAACCTTTTCCACGGTCATTATCATAGATTCCAATGTCCTTTTTGAAAAATTGCTTGTTAAGTTTTAACGTAAAATTGGATCAATCATGTACAATCATTGTGACATTAGTAGTTTAGGGGCTAGGCTAGTGGGCTTGTGGGTTTGAGGCTCAGCTCTGCCCAATAGTGTGTCTTTGGGAAAGGTGTTTACACAAATTTTCCTCACTTCATTCAGGTGTGAATGAATACCTGACCGAGGACAGCAAAAGATTTTGTCTGTATTATGGTGTTTTAGTGCCTATAAATGGCAGCTTGCACTATACATTTCTCTGGAAACTGAGATTGTCTTAGAATGCTATCAGGTCTGCTGGAGTAATAATATTGACTGTAAAGCACATAGAGCTTGCTGTTTAGCAAGATGTACTATATAAATGTTATCTATTATTACAATAAAATATAAAATATAATAGGATCCACTGTCTTTTTCTTACTTACTTCTAGAATAGGATACACCGGATTTGGCCTTGACAGGCAGGTTCAAAACAGTCTGACTCCTAAATGATGTAAGTTTGTTGATGGAGGCATAGAAACATTTACAGCTAGAAATTTTACAACAAACCTGTACCAGCCATTAATAAAGAGCTGCTTGTTTAACTGTATGTATTACAATTGTTATTATTCAGCAGTTACAACCGTATATCTTTGATATCTTGGCATCCTATGGGATTACTTAAACAACCTAATTTAGAAAAGAGAAGAGTAGAGAGTTTCTTTGGGAAATCTGTCTCTGCATTAACATTCATTTTATAACTGTCTTCTATCGTTCACTGTCTTTGCAATGCAAAGGCTGCTGAATACAAATTAGTATTATCTGACTCACGGTGTCATATAACCCAATGGATGATTGACAATCTCATGTGAAAACAGCAGTGAAATGGGTGATCCTTGAGAGAGGATTGTCTGAGAGCAGGATCTTATAATCCTAGCTAAAAAAACAGGATGCCAAAGAAATCATTGCTCATGTCTGTACGAGCTTATTGCGGAATATTTCTGCCCCATGAACTGCCTGACCGTGTACCATCAGTATACTTTTGAGCCCGCATTAGGAAACAATTTTTTAAACAGAAAAGTGAAGCACTTTTTTCCCTTTTCTCTCTGATTAATCTGACACATAGAAGCAAAACTACCAAAGACATACTCACTTTGGTTCATTAATATTGTATGGCCTTCCGTCATCTGCAAATAATTTCCTTGGGGCCTTCTGCTCAACATCATCCCTAAATACACATGGTACGCCAGAGTTCAGTTTATTCAGAAACTATATAGATGTACGTTGGGCACATCAAAGAACAAAATTGAAACACAGAAATTCTCAAAAAGATAAGTTAGATTCATTTACCAAGCCAACAGTTTGCAAAAAAATCCTTGCTGCAGGTATCTTTACTTCAAAACCGAAGGTATCAAATAAACAACATAATGTCTGACAGGGCCAAAATTATGTGAGACTTTTTAAATAATTCTAAAATAAATCAAATTCGTATCATATAATACATATTACCTGAGTCACACATACAAACTCACAAAAAAAATTTTTTTTTAATCATCTTAAATCAATCTATTATTTTGTTAACTAGTTTGTTACGGTTTGACCTAATTTTAGTTGTTATTCTTTATTAATGTATTCCTAAGCAACTCATAGCATCAAGTCAAAAGGCAAGAGTTCAAATGACTACTGGATTGGAAAAGTATTGTAAGTAAAGTAAACTATTGTTTGTGTGACTCTGTCTTCATGACAGACTCAAGGACACAGAAAATGCAAAGGGGAAAAAAAATTGCTTCCTCTTCGATTCAAACAAGCCAGGGTCATGTACCACTAGTACCAGCAGACCAGACAAATATAAGCTTACTTTTTCTCTTCCTTGGTCTTCAGCTCTTGAAGGTGGTTGTGAACTTCTAGACGTGACTCTGGTGTATAGGCAGTTTTTTCATTCCAAAATCTGAAAAACAAAGCATTGTAAATTCAATCAACACTTTTTCTAATTAGTTCATTAACTCTCTACAGACGTAGTTTTTTTTTTATCTAGACGTAATTAACTGGTGGCTCGATTTGGCTACACAGGTGATGTACAAAATAACTTAAAATAAGCACAACCTTCGCTCAAAATCAAAATGTAACATATGATATATCAAATTGAAGGAAGTTGAATGAGGAATACATTCCAACATGAAACAAGGATTAATTTTGAACACAAGTATGCATTACAAGGGTTAGAAAAGGTGATGGAGATGAAAAATATAAATTTTGACGGAAAAAATTACATTCACCAAACATGTGAAAGCAAATCAGCATAGCTATCTTATCACATACAGGCCAAGAGCATAATGCATAAATTTCTGAATGCGTAGCTTTTTATTTGAAAACAATATTCCAATTTTTGTTTGAGTTCTAATATTTATACTGAGTCCGGTTACAACGTTTTGTTGACGCAAGACCGCAAGAACTAATTCACTCGTTTTTCGCAAAGCCGACGCTTTGACAAAGTGAAACTAGATATTTTCGTTTCCTAAACCCTGTCCAAGTTTTCAATAACAATAAAAAGGTAATTATAAATGACAGATCATGTTAAAACGAAACAATACTGAGGCACCCTATCACAGCCAATGTATCGGTGATACGTCCGCAAGGGGTGTAGACTTGCGCCGATATATCGGCAATACGTCCAGAAAGAGTAAAGACTTTTGAAATTTAAAAAAACACAACGAAGCTTAGACCTTCATACATATATACTGATTCTGTTATCATCTTTGAAATCGTTTAAACAAGCATACATTTTTTTCCGGTTTTTTTTTTAAGTTTAAGTGTTTGTTTATAGTAGTGTATCCTCCTGACAGCTTGCCTAACTTCACAATATCTTCATTCTAAATTACAATTTCCAGCTCATGTGAGACGACAGTACTTCAGTCTGTTAGGTGTTTACCACTTAGCATTCACAATCCCACCTCTGCTGATTGCTAGGTATCCAGCTGTTGAGTGAAGTGAGGTACACAGAATAAAGTACTTATCCCTTTAGTTTAGCTTAGTAAGAGTTTTACAGCACTCGCAACTGCATAAGGTTATATGAGCGAGCAGAATACTAGTTTGTTGCATTCACTACAATTCATAGCACGGCTTGGTTTAGATCAAAATTTTGATTAAAATTTTTAAAATTTGTGGTAAAATCTCGGTTTTAAAATAACGCTTTAAATAATTTTTAGAATAACGCTATCTATAATTTATTGTTACGGCCAACAGCCTTCATAAAATCGAGAATTCAGTTGGGATCAACGACAGAGAACAGTACTTATCCTTGGGATAGAACAGCCTACCATAATGGAGTCTAGTCTCAAACTCGGAACTTTTTTGTTATAAGCTTGAGAGAGAGAGAGAGAGAGAGAGAGAGAGAGAGAGAGAGAGATCAACATTAAAACATATTATAGCTTGTTCACTTTCCTCTGACCGCGTTTATTACAATATAAAATCAAATCACTCTGTTTAATCATCTCATATCTTTACATACGGGTCTAAAAGTTGTATGACCACCAGAATCTAAAAGGTCACTGCAAACTATGGTTGTAACACATTTTCTTTGATATTAGCCTACAGCGGGTCAGAAGAATAATAGAAGATTTACAGCATACCCCTAAAACATTACAAAGTTGGCATTTTTTCCCTCAACAGAACATTTTAACACACGCCTAAGAAATATGGTCCAACAGACGGATGAGTACTATTCGAGACTCACATGGAAACGGTCTAGACAGCCATGGGATGAAATCTACAAGCTTACGCTGAAATGCGGGAGGCAGGGTGGTGTTGTCTCAAAATGAGCAATTTGTAGGCTAGATTACTGTAAACCATTTATTTTAGTGATCCTGTGTAAGCATCCACAGACTTGTTTTTAAAATAGGGCCCAAATAAACTGTTTTATTACTGATTCAAGATTTTTCTTTAAAAAGGATGCTCGCCTACAGAAGTGCCTTGCAAAGTTTCGTGGGCATAGGCAAATTAATAAAAGAGCTAGAATTGTTGTAATGCGCATAGATTAAAGTGAACAAGCTATAATAATTCTTGCAAAGGTGTTTGCACTCTTAGCACAGCAACATTTTCAAAATCTCTAAACATATTTACTCAAAAATGCTACACGAAATGTTTCCATACAATACACTTGATTAAAAACAATACAATATTTCAGTGATACCAGAAGTTTCCAACAATCCTATTATATCCATTATACTTACTCATCCACTTTTTCCTCGTGAGACTTTTCTTCTTTCTTGACATCTTTCTTGTCTCTGGGAAGAAAGGTAAGTATAAGTAAATAAGTAGATGAAATAAACAAATACATGTGCTAGGCTTTGATCTCTCACAACAGATGATGACAGTGCTCTCTCTCTCTCTCTCTCTCTCTCTCTCTCTCTCTCTCTCTCTCTCTCTCTCTCTCTCTCTCCCTCTAT